CGCGTGTGGCTGCTCCTCCTCTTCCTGGCCTCCAAGACGACTCAATTATGCCCTTAGATATGCTAGAGTAGTGCCTTTCCTTCTATCTTTTCATAGGAAGGCAAAGACCAGGACTTTGCAGACTGATTGATCATGGGGAAAGGGCCTTTAATAATTTGCTGTAATCATTTGCTGTATTGGCAAGTGTTTAATTGCTTTTAATTCTATTCACAGAATTAAATTCTATTTAATTTTCTATGATGTCAACATTTAACTGTGGCTGTTTTGACTTGTGTCAGCTGCACTGAGTCCTGGACTGGGAAACAAGCAAAATATCAATAAAATAAAATATATAGATAGCTATTTCTTGTATACATGGTTACACGCAGACTCTGGAAATAAGGCATTAAAAGTAATGTGTTACAAATAATGTTGGACAGCTTCTTACCTCTTTGTGGCTTAACAGAGTTTCATTTTAGAACCCAATGAGTGCAAAAGAAGTTATTTATTGCTTTCTAATTACTAATTCTAATAATGTCTAGTTATTTGTAAAAGGTAATATTAAAAGTAGGCATTTTGAGATGATTGTTTTAAATGTTATGCCATTCTTTTATCAATCTTAAGCTTTGTTTGTTTCACCCCAAAAATGGGCAATAAAAAGTAACAAAAAGTGATTTATTTGTTTTTGAAATGTAACTCAAGTGGCTTTTAAATCGTTGTAGCATTGTAGATTTAAATCTTTGTAGCAAGTTAATAAAGACAATGAATGTCATTCACTACTAGGAATAATAAATATGCTTTTTTAAAAGAAATAACTGAACAAACTGAGCAGTGTGGTGTAGTGGTTTGAACATTGGACTATGACTCTGGAGGCCAGGGTTCGAATCCTGACTTGGCCATGGTAACCCACTGGTAACTTTGGGCAAGTCACAGTCTCTCAGCCTTAGGAGGAAGACAATGGCAAACTCCCTCTAAAGAAATTTGCCAAGAAAACCCTGTGATAGGTTGCCTTAAACTGGGACATGTGTAGCTAAGCAGCATCACTGTATGGTCAGGATGACAAAAGGTATTAATGAGGAAAAACAGACAAGTTAGAAGTGGCTGCAGCAGTTTGCTTTTGCCTGAAGGTACTAGGAATGGCAAGATCTTGCCCTTTCCTCTCCTCTTCCTCCCCCCCCTTACTTTGAGTTAATTGTGTGCAAAATACTTTTGCATTTTGAATTCCATTTTCAGCAACTGACATAAGACAAAGGGGGGAAGTGGGAGGAGGAGAGAGAAACTGGGACATCTTAAAAGTAGCTGAAAAATTGGGACAACAGAGGATTAATTTGGACTGTCCCTGCCAAATCGGGATAGCTGGAGGCTATGCAGACATATGCTGTAAAATACAAGTTTGAAGCTAGTTGTTGTTTAAAAGTATCATTATTTTATCTTATCATTATTTCTGTTATCTCCTCAATAAGAAGCATTAATTGGCACTGCTGGTATATTCTAACTGTTCAGCCTGACCAAGCAGCAGACCCACACAGAGTTTGTTGTTTACAAGCCTAATTGGACTTTGATTGCACTTGAGAGAAAAGATTTGGAAAAGTTTATGAATGATTAAGTGGAGGCCATCTATTGTATTTTTTCTACTTCCTCAATTTCCTCCACAGATCCCAAGGAGTTTTCCTTTTTATAAACAAAGTCTTCCAGAAGTACAACAGACCTGGAATTGGGAAAGGAGGGCTGCACAGTGTCCCAAAGCCCACTTTGACAGCACCCCCCAAAACCCCTACATCTTTTTAAAAACATCATTGTGGATGCAGTCTTTTGGTGATTTTTACCCAAACATTATGCCAAACCACCCAAATGCTCAAAAATAGACAACAACACACCTCCTGGTCCAAATGGCAAATGGAAATAATGCAGGGTCACTTTTGGTCAGCATTTTGGCCAGAAAACAGCCTCTTCAGGGGAGATAGTACATAATGGGGAAGAGAGGAAAATGGACCCTCCAAGCTTTCACCTATCTTCATCCTTATAAAATATTATATCACCTCTCTTCACTAGTCACTGACTCACTAGTCACCAAAAAAGAAAGGATAGATTTGCATAACCTTCACACCTGCTAATGAGGGGTCCTAAATACCCTAAGGCACCAAGCTAAGCTGGGTCATATCTGGTTAGGACTTGGATGGGAGACCGCCAATGAATACCAAGCACTGTAGGCTATACTTGAAAGGACAAAGCTGTCAAAATTATCTCTTGCCTAAGAAAACCCTAAGTTCATGGGTTCACCATAAGGTGACTTCAAGGCACATATGCACACACAATGCTATATGGAAGTGCAAACTTAAAAATAATTGCTATAATTTAAATAGAAATACATCCTGTCATATAGGTGGTGACTAAGTGATCTGCTCAGTCCACTGTCCTAGGGCTATACAGTTATAGCACTATGATTTCACTTTAACTGCCATGGTTTTGTCCAAAGGAATCCCAGGATTTGTGGCATTCTCTGTTTGAGGGTTCTAAACACCCCTCCCTAAACTGCAAATCCTTTTATTCCATAGGGTGTCACAGTGGCAGTTAAAGTGGAATCATAGGATGTTATCACACGGGAGCAAATCTGCTGGTTAATCCACACA